GTTTATAATAATTTAAGCTATTGAACAGATGCATTGTAATACTATTTCTTTTCAAAGCACATTGTTACAGAACATTATCCAAGCACTATAGAGTAATGGAGATTAATATAGATCTCCGTTTTTGATAGGTCTAATATACTCATGCCCACTTGATGATAAACTGTGATTACAATACTTCATATCCTGATATGGTTTACTAAAAGAGGTCTATGTCTAACCAGAACCTTAACAATATCTACTGCTTTTATAATTTTATTTCTCACTGCTACGGACACTGCTCTATCAGATTTTTTTTTTTTTTTTTTAATATACTCAAGGCAGGGTACACTTATTTAAAACTGCCTATATGAAACAGAATCAGTATCACAGTATCTAATAAGTAAAGTTTTTACTGAAGTGTGTTTAATTCACAGAGAAGCTAAATATACCAAGGACACCAAATTTCAAAGAATGGAATTAGTAACGTATGCATATATGGTATGAGAACAAAATAGTCCAAGATGCTTTCTCTACTGGTAGTACAAAGGTTATTACCACAATCCCAGGCATATCACAGACAACAATGCCATTTTGGATGTTCTCCTACTAGTTCTGCTAACATTTAGATAGAAATAATTCAAAATCTGCCCACAATCTTAAATTTAAAAGATGTGGCTCAAATTCCATCTTGGCAAGACCAGAGAATATACTGAAAACTGAGCCAAAACTATCAATTATGACTACCTCTAATGATGCAGGTGGCAGATAGTCCTCAGATCCTATTGGAGTCTACATTATTTCTCTGCATGGCGTATGTTATACATATAGTGCATATTCATGTTATTTTTTTCTCTAGTTACAAATATTTTCCTATTGAAGACATTGAACTTGCTAGATTAAATTAATTTTTAGTCTAGGACCATTAAAATCAATACAACTGAAAAAAAAATTAACATGATGAAAGTTTGGAAACCTCTTAGTGTTATGCCTAAGGCTGAATCACTGTTATTACAAGAGAAAACAGAACTCCTGCATTTATCATCAGGAGTCCTTAGCTTTCAGCCAACATTAAACAGAACTGCCTGTTTCCCCAAGTATTGGTTAATGGACTTTTGTTTTCACCAGGACTTTACATGTCTGCATATCACATGTCAATGGTTACAGCTCAGGTACGTTGCATAGGAGAAGACAACAAATACTGCTGGTTAATACAATCCTATGGACATTATGGACAAGAGCATTATGAGGGAAAACTGTATTTGTGGAAACATATCAGTTTATATCCATTCATGCAGAACTTTGTTCCTGCAAGCAGAATTTGGGGTAACTATGCTTTAAACAGCATTTTAATTGTTCATGGCAATTAAAATAATAGTGGTATTGGCAAAAAAAAAAAAAAAAAAACCTAAATGGAAATGTTATATGCAAGTGAAAATTTAACAGGGAAGTAAATGGACTAGAGATACTTTTCCTCTACTCCTAGTAACAATCAGTTCAATATTAGTGGTCTCATAAATGTATAGTGATTGTACTCACCAAGTTTTGCAGCTTTCCTTTTCTTATATATATCATAACTTCATGTGCTAAATTATAAATCATAAAAATCATAAGTCACAACCATGACACCTATTGTGTACACAGACTTTAATCCAATAAAATCCAAGTGTGAACCAGACCATGTGGTCATCATGCCCTTCACCTTTCCAAAACTACTAAAGTTTAAAGCCTTCCTCTTGTTAGCCTTGCAGTTTCCTTGGTGCCTGAAGTTGAGCACAACTCTCCAAAAGTGATAGTGGTGAAACTCCTGTTTTTTGTACTTGATTAGCACTTGTCTGAAGAAAAGAAGGCCTGATACCTCCCTATCAACACAGCTGAGACAAAAGATCTCATATCTTGACAGAATGAAGAAGTCAGATGCACTGAAAGTATGTTAAAAAGAAGTAGTTACAACTACTCTAAGTTAGATCATCAGGTGATCCATTGGGCAAAACAGAGAAAAGGCACAAAGGAGCAGGAGGTCACCCCTGTGAGTTGACTCCTTCAGCTGAACTATGAAGGTTCCAGTATTTTCTCCCTTTATGAGAAGGATGAACAGACTAACAAGTTTTGTGGTGTTGTTTCGGTTTTTTAGTGGTCACAGCCAGAAATCCAGGACTCCTGCCTTTTGGGCCTTTAGATATTCTAGGACAATAATTCATAATATGAATATTATGAATATTATATAACATGGAGCAGGCCTATTTTGTATTCAGACCTCTAAAAACCCAAGGAGCTTTATCTCTGTAATAAAGACCATAAGGTATGATATAAATGATACAAGTAAGAATTATTCAAGATTACACATTCATTCAGGAAAAAAAAAAAAATCCCCAATCATGTACAGACATTTTTATTTTAGACATTTCTACAGATAAAGGCCTTTGGATAACATATTCTCACAGGATCAAGAAGTTAAAACCATTTTTGTTCATGCTTAACTGAAAATGAATCAGTACATGCATTCTGAATTTTATTGGCAGAATGTAATAACTCTGTAATCTTAAAATTTACAACACGGAATAATGACAACTATTTAATAATAAATATCTGAATTGGCGTTATAATTTTAAAGATCAGAGACATCTGTATTACATCAAAATTCCTTTCCTATACAAAGAAAGATGTTAATAAAGAATTAAAAATAAAACAATGCCTTTTTAATTTTGTGAAACTACTGGGATCTCTCAGCACTTTGATATTTTGTACATTAAGTCACTCTAAAGGATTGTGATGCTTTGTGAGAAGTTTCAAGGACACAGTGAAGGAGAATTAAATTATCGAGTAATGTTACTGCTTGTTCTTATATTTACATTTATCCTGGATGAAGGTAATTTACTGGGGGGGGAAGGGGCAAAGAGAACCATATATCACACTAATGCAAAGTCCATGAAAAATTTGTCCTTCATGCTATGACTGGACACTGTCAAGCAAGGTTTACAACCTTTTTATCTGTATCCAAGCAAAGCTATTTAATTACCTCAGTTGTCACCAGTTACAATATTTTTTTCCTGTTTATATTTATGAGGAAAGGAGGAAAACAATTCATCTGTTAAAAGAAATAACCTCTAAAGCATAACCTCCAGAATCTGATGTATTGATTCTCTTATGTTTCCCCAGATGGCAAAGTGGTGAAACAGAACCAAGAGCACCCAGAGGCAGTTGTTGTGGCTTCTCTGTGGAGAATTTCAGGAAGGCTTACGCTTTTGTTGTCCATAATATTGCTTGGGTTCCTTCTATATTACATGCATGCAAATTCCCCCCATGAAATCTGTGAGAAATGAGATTTAAAACAGAATACAGTCTTGACTAAAGAATGTTTGGTGAAACCCCTGGTCTTAGTGCAATGCTGTAGAGTAGGCACTCAGAATCAGATTGAAATCTCACCTATGTAGGACAGAACAGCACTGCAGAACAGACTGCTGGACAATAAGATTATGAAAAAATCCATGATGTTTTGTTTTTGCAACAAGGAGTTAATTTAAATTGAATTTCAAAAAAATTTCCTGGGCAAAACCTTAATCTTATTTTCACTGATATTCTACCTATCATAGAAAAGGCCTAGAACAGAAGTTTTGTTCCTGAGAATGTACACTGTATTCTAAAACACATGAATAATCACACTTTATTTGTCTTCTTGAAATTAAGGAAGTATTTTTAAGATAGTGTTGATATACTTCAGTATTCTAAACTGTAAAAATAACCAAAGTGAAATGAAACTAGAGGAGAAAAAAAACAAAACTAACCCTTTGAAAAGACAGTAAAGTGTACATTTATAGTTAATTCTGCCTAGCTAGCCACATTATTTCCCACTGTTTTTTACAGCAGTATCTCCATCTCTGTCATTTCATCTCAATAGCTCTGTCTGTTTCAAAGGCAGGGATGCTGTTTTATGCCTGCTACACCACAGAACTCTCAGCCATATGGATTGTCCCACAGAGACCCCTATGGGCTCCTAGAAAGGCTTTGCAGTCCACATATGATCCTTTTTGAAGCTACTCTGATCCTTCCTAGACCCATAAACCTCATAGGTAATATGAGGAGAGGACTCAAAAAAAGCCCCAATGATGCTACAGATCATAAATGAATATAAACAGACTGTCTTCATGAACATCCTGTTTATTAAGAGACATAGAATCGATAGGATCCGTGCATCTGCTAATGAATCTGTAATATGTTTGTTTTGTTTAATTTTGGGTTTGTTTGTTTTTTGTTTTTTTGTTTTTTTTTTTTCAATAACAGGGCAAAGAGGATAGTAACAATAGTGAAAACATTTAGACATTCTGCACTGGATAATTTTTTTTCTGTCCAGAATTACTCCACAGCTCTAAGCAAAACCTATTAATATGTGGGAAAAGGACCAAAACTATACAATATATCTTGCAAAAACACTATGGATAATTTATACTTTTAAAAGGGTTTTTCATTAAGATAGGATCACCTTTAATTGAAGCATCAATGTTTAGTGTATTTTTATATCTAAATTTTATTGTGGAACATCACCTGTGGAAATGGAACATGTAAATGCAGCTGGATATCAAAATGAGCAATACAGGGAACTGCTCGAAATGTTGATAATTGGCTACAGAACTTGACAAAGCCTGTCACCTCTGAAGTTTAGCTGGTTCTCCCTTACCTATGCTGGTTTACTGGTGAGGCAGAATTACAATCATCTTTTCCAGGGATTGCATACTTCTCTTACTAATTCCTTTCAGGTTCCTTCTCAAGTGAGCATTTCGGTTCCTGCTCCCTAATGTACACAATACCTTTTATCCCTGTTTAATAAACATCCATAACAGACTATAGAGGTTCTGCACGCAATTATGCTTTTCAAAAACAACAAAAAAAACCCACCGCATAACAATTTAAATTGTACCTTTATGTCACAGTGCAATGGTTTTCACAAGTATTTCAGTAAACTATACAAAATAATAAAATGTTGTTCTTTTATCAATGTAAATAATAATTGTCTACATTTGGATTACCAGTAATCTGCCGCGATTGAGAGACGGAGACCCAGCTTGATGCAAGTCAGGATCTACTTTATTGAACACAACAACCGATTTTATATTCCAAACAGACAAAGAGAGACATGTGTTTTAAGTTGATTGGCACAATGGTTAATCACCTAATACATATTACAAAAATTGAGCTCATGATTGGCTAACGTCTAAGGTCAGCTTGACATTTTCTGCAGTTAATTTTCTGCTAGCTCACAGCATTCTTCCTCTTTTTCAACTTCTACTCCTACATCCTGTTTCTATAGCACATGCTTATCTTTAGTTACGAAACCAGCCCTCCAGGAAGAAATCGTCCTTGGCCCCAGGGGTGTGACAGTCTGCTTACAGATTGTGCAAGTTACGAGACGCTAAGTTGAGCACGTCCTTCCTAATCAGCTCTATCTCGCTGCTAGAAGGAGAGACCAGGCTGCCCCCGACAGTAATCTATCTATAAAACTCAAACTAACAATTATACTGGCCAGAACAGATACATGAGAGTCTTGTGTAAGGGATGCTGGAGCAATTGTGGGAAACATCAGTAATCATCCATCACCTTTCTGTACAGACATAACACACACATGCAAATGTATATCACAGCTTCACAGTCTTGTACTGCAGCAGTATCAAAACCATATGAATTGTATAGGAGTATGGACTTACCAAAAGGCAGCCATTCTCTGATCCTTCCTTGACCAAACTTCTTACTCTAAGAGAGTTTTACATCAGCAGTGGCATCATGAAATTCTGTTGCTGTAGAAGTAAATTCTCCAGATCTTGAAAGTCTTTTTATGAATGCAGACCTACTATAAATTCAGAGCATTCAATGCAAGTTCTGCATTTACTTTTAATGTAACAGTACCAGTGAAATCTTAGCTTGATATTTTTGCTGTCCAACAGCTTTCATGAAAGTCCTGATTTGTTCTGCATCACTTTATGCAGAGCACCATTCTGTTATCACTTATGTGCGGAATTATGTTCATAGACTTTACTGACTACTACCAGGTGAACATTGCCTTACAGAAGCTAATGCCATGACTAAATGATTAAAGATTTTTGTCATCAAAATACTGGATAGGTCATGCAACAGTATACTGTAGTACTGCAAATGTGTACTACACAATATGTAAACAAGGGTTTGTGTACTTAGTTGCGATAAACTTTGCATGTTTACAAGTAATTTTCTCATTTTCCCAGATTTTAAATTTGTGCTCTTCTGTGGTTTTCCTCAGACACGTGTTGAAAAAGGAATAGATAAGTAGATCTGGTTATTCCACACCAGGACACAGATTTAAACCTAAAAGAAGGCAGATTTTTTTAGTCTCCCATTCTGTAACACCAAATTATTCTCCATCTCTGCAATTTGGAACCCCAAATTTCAAGTAGGCTCTGCATGATTTAATTAGCTGAAAAATTGCCTTGAAATCTCACTTTGTGGTTTGAATTCTTCCCTAATTATCCTTCAGAAAGGGGTATAATCAGATTAAATTTCCATTTTTTACAGATTGTTTTGGTCTTGTTAATAATACAAGAATGATCTCTAAAATGAAGATATAATTGCTGTTTACTTTGAAATACAATTGTACAAAGTCCTTAAACATACTGTACTATTTCCAAAATGTCACAATGAGATCATATAGGGATACAACAGAAGAGTCCAGATGCTGTATCAGGAGCTGAAGCAAAAATAGGTACTTTTTTCTCATAAACATAGGGTGGAATCCCACCTAATATATCTAACCAATCTGAGAATTATGACATGACCTGGACTGTTTTCCAACTTTTCAAGTGAATGATGCACAAGGTGTATGAAATGCCTGGACAAGCTCCACCACTAATAAATTTCATTATAAATATACTGGTTTTAAAACTTGAAACAATTCTATACAATTGCCTGAAATTTTTCTTTATAGCTTATAGATATCATTATAAAAATAAACCTATTCCACCATTCTTTTAGAAAAATATTTACTACCCTTGTTTACTTTTGTTGCAGTTTAATTAGTGAAAGTGAATACTAGACTTAATCAAGGAAATCCCCAATTTCTCACTGGAAGTGAAAAACAGAGCAGAGGCTTTATGGGATTTCTGTTTCGCATAATTTCTTTGGTGCTTTCACTTTTTGCACAACAATGTAACTATTATTTTTGTGCACAGTGTATACAAAACGTGGATGTATTTCATCTCTGCTATGAAAGAAAGCAGTTCCTGATACATCCCATTTGTCTTGCCAACTCTAAACCCCTTATCTCTAAAATGCTCTGTCAAATATTTAGTATTTATATTCCAGTTTGGTACTTATATTCCAATTCTAATTTTATGCAGAATATGATATCTTTTAAAAGGTACTAACTAAATAAAAATAATGTAATATCCTAGTTGCACACTGGTATAATTTCTTTAGCTCTCCTAATAGTACACAGACTCTCTCTGAACCTGCTGTTTGGTTTTTTTTTTTTGCATGAAGTCTGAGAAAACTCACAGTATAAGGACTGAGAATTAATGGTCCATCTACCAGGTCAGTTCCAAATCTAGTTATTGTATTTATCTTAGATATATTTAATCATTGAGCTCATTAAGAAGACCTATATAAAACTGTCTTACTGGATATATAAAGACTGAATTTTCTTTTTGCATTACCTTATTGTTTACAATAAAGAAAGAAATTACATTTATTTGCCATGGTGTACCCTGTTTAATTTATGTTGATTATTATATATCTTTATTCATATACAATTATTAGGCAACATTTTCTGTTTCCCCAATATAAATTGGGTTTAACTCCTCTTGCTTTAATAGATTTATGCTGCACATAGCGTGGTGGCACAGAGAACAGCACTTTACTAAGTGACACTCTGCAGATGCTTTCAAATCTCTTCCTGTGTGGAATTAGGACACAGGCAGAGCATGCGGTCTGCATTTGGGGCTGGAAAGCTTTTGTGGTTTCACCAGGAGAGAAAGCTTGTGTGCTTCAGTAGAACCCACACTCCTGACTAGCTTCAAGAGTGGCACAAAACTTAGAGGTAAGGAGTCCTGACACACTAAATATCCAAAATATTACATGGAATAAAATAGGCACAGTAGCTAACCTTTGGACATTTATTTAGAAATGAGTCAGACATCATTTTTATTCCAAAAGAGGCGTAACTTTTCTACTGGCCATTTTCGGTGATAGAAAATGAAGTTTAAATATAAACCGGAATATCAAACCTTCTTCCAAAAACTGAAAAAGAGTAGTTATCAGAAGAGAGTAAAAGGCCCTCAAAAAATTGCAGTATGACTACCTGCTCCACAGGAATCTGCATGCTTGAGATTTTAAAAGTGGTTGTGGAAAATGCAGCTCATGCCAAACAAAGGACAAGGCTATAAATTTGAGTTGAAATATTAATTTTCTAGTAGAATGCAAATTAATAAATTTAAAATAAATAATAAAATAACTTAGTTACTGCAAGCTTCTATACTGGCTTTCAGATTGTTCTGGATTTGTTGATTATTCAAAAGAAAGGATGCTTATGCTGCCTATACTCATGAGATATTGAGAAACAAAGACAAAAACTAAAACACCTTAACCCTACCTTCCTTCTTCCTAGTCTCAGCTTCACTCGCTTCACACATCCTCCCCACCCCTGAGCAGCACAAGGGGATGGGGAATGGGGGTTGTGGCCAGTCCATAACAGCTCCTCTCTGCTTCTCCTTCCCTCTCACACTTTTCCCCAGCTCTGGCGTGGGCTCTCTTTCAGGAGATACACACATGCTCCAGCATGGGGTCCCCTTACAGGCTGCAGCGTGGATATCTGCTCACCATGATCTTTCCACAGGCTGCAGGGGAATCTCTGCTCTGGTGCCTGGAGCACCTCCTCCCCCTCCTTGTTTTCTCACCTTGGTATCTGCAGAGTTGTTTCTCTCACATTGTCTCATTCCTCTCTCTCACAACTCCAGCCCAGTGTTTTTGCACTTACTGAAAAACATTTCCCCCGAGGCACCCCCACGGTGTCTGTGGGGCCGAGCCGTGCCCTGCGGTGGGTGGGTTGGAGCCGGCTGGAACCGGCTGTGTCCGGCGCGGGGCAGCCCCGGCCTCCCCTCACAGAGGCCCCCGCAGCCTCGATGCCAGCTCCTGTGCTCCTGCCTCTGGTACAGTCCTCAAAAGCTTGCTGGATTTCCTCTAATATAAAGGAAAATGTTTTTTTCAATAGACTCCTACTTAATAAGAACCAGCTTTAGATCTGACCCTCATCAATGGATCCTGTTAGCAATCTCACTGTAAGGAGAACTTAAGCACCTAAATCTATGCATAAGGCTGCTTCATAAAAACTACCACAGTTTTGACTACCACAAAAAAGATTATATCCAATACAGTTAGCAAAGAAATCGCATTAAACTATACATGTTTCCTATGAGTCTGTTGATGGAGACCAGATTTATCAAGGACCTTTGTTTCATCAGCTGAGTCATAACTGTGATTGAGAAGATGGAGTCAGGGAATGCTGTGAATCCCTTACATACCTGGGCTAATTGGAAAGTTCTTGTATTTGCTGATTAATTCCACAAATCTATCATTATATGCAGCACTTTTTATTACAACCATAAAGTATAATGTTGACCTGTCATCAGAGATGAAGAAATGTTGTAAGTACAACTGGACAATCCTATTCTCCCTAGAAGTATCTTCTGACATGTCTTCATTATGCTTTATGGCATTAATTAGAGACACAATATAGAAAGATATTTCAACTGTCTCAGATATTAGACAAAAGTAATACACTTTTCCCACCAATCTAAGCAAACCTCTATATTGGAAGTGCCACTGGAGCATATGAGAATACTCCTTGGACTGTCTATACTCCCAACTATTTATACAATATAGTACAGTTGTCACTGTTTTATTGTATGGATGCCTTGTACTGTGGAGCAATAACCAACAATATTTTGTACTGTAGGTTATGGAAGAAATCTGAATTGTTTTGGCTGAACTTTAATAACAATAGAAATCTCAAAACATCTATTGACACTAAATTGATTAAAATTATT